TGTACAAATAACGGTGTGATCTGAAATAAACTATCAACGTGGAAAGAAATACTGGTTTTAATAACGATCAATAACATCCTCCTTCAACATCAGAAGAGGGGGTGTATCAACGTCAACAATCTGCGACACTCAATAAACAATAGGTCGTTGTCGATTTTAGTAAACACGTTTAAAAATATATTGTGTGAGATAACGGCAAAGATGTCTTAAGAAAACCGTTCTGCCTTAACAGATATATGAAAGATGATACGGCCGGATGATCAGTCTAAAGTTCGTATATCTGACGTGTATTTTCTACCTTTTGTCCCTGATAAAGTTATGGATGTAAGAGACTGAATGGTTTTAATATCCAGGACGCAACTAGAATATAATTTGAACGAACTTGAAGTGCAACTTGACGCAATGAGTGTTTTTAAAGTCTGACAGTGTCTCTGAATAAATAGTAAATGCTTTTTGTTTAAAAAAATGGTCAAACCGAATCCAATTGGACAAGCAGCTGTTAAATTTGACATTGGAAACATTACTGATGACACGCTTCGTACCAAGCCACTAAGCAGTAGGTCGAATACCGTACCCGAACCGATTGTTATAGCAAAAACTTTGCGGAAACTTGTCACCTACTAAAAAAATTATGTTCCTAGTAAAAGAAAGAAACAGGACACGGAGCTCAATGGTGTAACCAAAATGTCTTTGCTAAAATTGAATAGATAAAAGGATCGGACTGCTTCAACGCAGTGGCGAAGCTAGAGCTCCAAGCTAGGGCAAGCCCAAGATATAAATTGATAAAAATATGGATTGTTGTTTTTAGCAGTTTTATAAAAATACACCAATCTTGATCTGTCTCCACGCTTCAGTTTCATATTCAGTGCTGTCAAGGACGTGTTTAACAAAGCACACAGAAGGCATACCACTGCTAGATAGATTGTATTACATATCAGCAATTGAATAGCTTCGGTGGCTTTGAAGAAAGCCGTTTGGGTTTGTTGAAGCGAAAGAAAAAAAATATTTACATCCAATACAATACATGAACAAAAGTAAAACGCGAACAAAGTACAAACAATGTTCAAATTTAAAAAAAAAATAACAAATTATTTACATTCTAATGGATAAGAGATAAGATAAGATAAGTGGAATCGTCTCGCTTTCTTATGGAAAGATTTAATTACGTCCACGTAAAATGTTGGTGAACGTTTTCATTGTACCAATAACTGTTTTTAATTGCGATAATTGATAAGTCTGAAATGCACTCTTAACCTTGTGTATTATCTCAACAAAGTTTAAAGATTTCCTCTCCGATTATCACTTTAACACACTTCATCACAAGGAACACTATTATCCTCCATTTTCATTAAAAACTTTTTAAAAAAGCATAAATTTTGAACTCGTAATATTAAATCGCTTATGATAAGCACACAGAGTAAATAAACATTGAAACGTGAAATGAACTTGCAAATGTATTGCCCGCGCGCCTCCGCTTTTAACAAATTTATTCCCAAAAGCCTGGCTTTAAATCTCTATACTAATTGCTATATATACAATCGTAGTTATATTTCATTATAGAATATTTTGCCATAGGTTAGAAAGAGAGCGATCGTCTTCTCGAAAGCCCCATAAAAAGCCCACGCGAGCGAGGGAGACAACTATTAGCTCTATTAAAACTCATTTTTTATGACAGCAGCAGTATCGCTAAGGCAATACATACAATAATAAAGAATGCCCTGACATTGGCAAAAATCATTCGGTGCCTTGCAATTAGCAGCACACTGTAGTATCACAAAACAACAGGCGAAACACCGAACTGGCGAAAGAGAATGTGTTGTTGAACTATTACAGCCCATTGGTGAAGAAAATATCCTGTCCACTCAGAAATAATAAGGAAAGTAGTTTGGGAAAGGATTGCTGATCGAGCTGAGAAGAACTTCGGTACGACAAAGAGAAGGCTTAAGTGATCAAGTTCAAAAAAGGTGAATATGTTCATCTTAAATAACCTCCACGTTTGGGCACAAAACTAAGCTTAAAGTATGATGGCCGATACCGCACGACGATCAAGAAAATTATATCATGAAAACTTAAGATGAAAGGTTACATGAAATCTTACGGGGCTGGATGAAAACTTATACCCTTGTTATTCAGAGTAATATGGTAATATTGCCCACACAATGAGTAATTAAATTTAAAAAATGAAAACGAAGTCGAGAGTGTGTAACCAGATCCAGATGTAACTTTTGAGCATATAATAATATTTGTTTGACTGAGACCAAAATTAGGGTTGAGGTTATGAAGTCTAATGGGTACTTTACTAAAAGAGTTTATATTATGTGGTATATATATATATATATATATATATATATATGCCTTACGTAAATTGTTAAAACTACTGTTAGGCTGAGGATGAGACTTTAATTTTCTTCCACAGAGCGAAGAAAGAAGGCGGCAGGGACGCGTTTACTGCGGAATGGCCATTCGTGTGATGCGTTAGCTCTCCCGCCACACGACTGTGAAGCAAGCTCGTCACGTGATCTGATAAAATGAGCGTACACTACGAGCTGCGGGCAAATAGCCTTACTGCGTTAACGTTGTGTCGCGTACTTCTACAAATTGTTTAGTTTGAAAACCATTGTAAATGTTTTATTAAAGTAAAATTTCATAATTGAAATACTTAACAATAAATTTAAATTGATTATTTTGTGAATAGTTTAATTAAACTGTGTTCAAATAATTGTGGGATTATTTTGCGAATGGTGTAATTGAACTGTGTACAAATAATAGCATGATCTGTAAAAAATATCAATAATAATGAAGCAGTGCTTTTAATGACGTTCCACCACACCCTTATTTTTTTCACAAACAAATTTGACGAATTATTATTACAATTTAAAAAGAATGATATAAATGCTTGTAATGACAGTTATTAGAAAAAGTATTTCATTTAAACGAAACTAGTTTTTAATGATCTTATCGCGTACATTAATTCATATTCCCGACGTTTTGAGCACGGGGGCCAGTCCCCCCCCCTCCCCCGTCATTTAAAGGTAGTGTTCGCGTAAATATGAGAAATTAACAGAATTTCAATTAACTGGAGTCTAGATGATATTAGTAATCTATGGCTATAAATCAAATAGTTCAACTACGCCACTAGTGTTGTTGACTATCTTAATGTTAAATACGCGGACATCGAGTCTTTAACATTATTATGGTCAACAATACTAGTCTAACGAACAAAACTCTGGTTTCAAGAACGCTCACTACCGGTCTCATAAATACGTCCTATGTAGAATACAAATCAAAAACCTATGAAAAGAAAAGACAGACGTTTAAATGTCCCGTAACGCAAAATATGATTGACCCTCAGTTCGAATATCCGTTTGGAGCTCTGGGTTATCATCTACTCGTTTATTTTAGACTTTGGCGACAAAAATTTTTGATGACTTTAAATTTTCCGGTGGGTCAGCAAAATTTATTACTATTACGCAAAAAATGGGAAGGGTGGTTCTCTTTTTACTGACGCCTCGAAACTTGCTGATAATAGCATTGTAGCGTCACCTATCTGGATACCGAAATATAAAATTATTCTAAATTATCAATATTATGGTCAAAAAAGTGCCACTAAAGGTTTACTGGTGAAGCAGCTGCTATTTTAGAAGACAATTTTATTCATAGAAGCACAGATAATTAACACCAACTTTAATAGTTCCCTGCAAAGCATTTTTCTCAAACCATTTCGAAGTAAATCAAAATTCCAAATTAATTTTTAGAATAGGAGATGCACCAAATAAATATCCTTCAAACCATGTTTTTTCAAATTTAGAAATAGTTCTAAGAAAAAATACACGTCAGTTATATGTATAATAAGATATGTAGATATTTTTTCAGCCTGTATTTTGGGCAAATCTTATAATTAGAAGGTTAAATCTTTTTTTAACAATTTACTTAAAACTCCTTTTATTTAAGCTCTATTTGATTTCATATCCATTAATAACATTGGAGTATTTTGTTACTTACATCAATTTTATTATGCTAGCAAACTTATTAATTAAAAAAATTATATATTTATTAAAATCCATTTGAAATAAAATTTTAACTTCATAACATAAGAGTACCTAGAGTTCCAACTACGGAAATTTCGCAACAAAAGTCAAACTAATAATACTGTGTGTTTTCATGAAATACTTGACTGCTGGCAGAATTAATTCAACTAACAAGCTGCCAACAAGAAAAGGAAAACAGACATCCATAGATTACCAATATAATAATACTCGAACAGAAATGTTTAACATCATCTATTACAATAGGTCTGTTTTTAAAACGAGCGTCCGATAGAATTACTTTTCTAAACTTTCATCGTCACGACGCGACATTTAATAACTCTGTTTACATAGTCCGTAGTCTATTTTGCTCTAAAAATGTACTTGTATATTACGTGTTAAATTTGAGCGAGATATAACTTTCAAAAATCCATATGAAATATATTGATTTAAGACAAGTTTGTTTGTTCAGGAATTCAAACTATAAATTTAGTACATTTAATTGCACATACGCAAAATCACAATATTTTTTTATGCATGGTGTCGTCATTATCTTTTCACATATTATGCAGGAAGGCTTTAACTAACATGTAGTTTATCAACTAGCTGATACGCTCATGAGAGCTGCGCTGGACGCACGATATTTTATTACGGAACCTGGATGTACAATATCAAGAATTTTTTTTTGTTTGATGAGACTATCGTAAAATACGTTGAGACTCTACATTGCAAAAAGAGTAATTATACTAAATTTCAAGTCGATCGGGTGTATAGTTTTGGAGATCTCGGATGATGTACCAACGGTAGTAAAATACTTTAGACGCATCATTATCTTTATCAAAGTACGACAGAAAGCCTTTAAAAATTATATCCTTGGAAAATTATTAGGCGTCCACGTACTAAAATAAATAAATTTGTTTAATTTATAGTCAATCTACGGTTTAACATTATTGTTCTAAAATTTACCTAATCTCCTCAGTCTTCGCATGGTTCAGTTTGAGGTTTTTCCTCCGATTTTAACCTGAAATTAATAAACCTTCGTTCAAATATTACAACCCCATTGTACACTATATTTTTATTTATTTAACCTATTCTATAGAATAAATGAGTCTATAAGCGATAAGTGGGATTGTTACGATAATAAAATAGTTTATTTTAGAGAAATGGTGTGTATAAATTACTTCGTACTAATTAAACTCCATAATAGTGATTATCAAAAAGTTGACCAATGTCTGAAACGAAAAATGTCTGCATGTGAAAAAAAATACAAATCAAATCAGACTTAACAACTATTAATCAAAATGTACCCTCGATATATATTCTAATGTAATTAATAACCGCTAACGAAATAAACACATATATTTTCTTATTTGTTTTAAGCTAATTTATTTCCTCCATACAAATTTTCACTCTGCACTCTCAGACATATAGTTGGAAATACTGTATTTTCTTAATTATTGGCCATTTACCCGACCGCGGAGGGTGATGTTTGTTCCTTTGTGACGCTCTAGGGACCAAAACCGTGGGCCGATTTTGATGATTTTTACGTCAATCGATTTGTCTTAATCTGGCAAGGTCACTTATGACATGACAGTAACAAAAATTCAATGTAACGACGACCAGACGCCATATCGCTTAAAGAAAACGAAAGTCGATGAACATCATCGATGAAAATCATATTTAGGTTTCTCTAGTCTTTTTTAATTTTGAATGACCATTTAGGATCTATAGGGATTTAAATTTTGTTAACGACCATTCTCGATAAAATTTTCGAAACTTATAATAAAGATGTTGCAAAGTTCTTATATGATAGTATATTGGGTTTTATTAGTAATTTTTTTTATGCAATCGGGCTTTTATTAAAACAGTATTCAACGAAAGGGTTAATTGCTTGTTTTGTAATTTTGTTGGTGTTTATAGTAGGACACAAGATACATAAAGAAAAGTAAAGTATTGCGTACCGTTACAGCTTATTAAAGTCCACTGCTGAGCATATGCCTCCCCCGTAGATTGCGATATTCGCCATAGTTGCCAGCCTTGGCCAGCAGGTGGACGAACGCAGATCTTTACTTTTAGTCGCCTCTTAAGATACTCAAGGGATAAAATAACCTTACATTCTTGTATATAATATAAAATTCCATAGAAAATTTAACTTGGTCATTAATTAGTGTGACAGTTTATTGCAACCTTGTAACTTCGAATGCACAAACAGTAGTAGAATTCTATTTTTCGCTTAAGCGACCTAGGAGTCGATCATAGTATCGTAATATCATAGTATATAAACATAATATGTGATACAATTAATTTTATTGTACTCAGGTTATATTAGCGGAATGTACAATTTTTTAGATAGTATTTGATTATTTAACTTTTGCTTGCATCCTAATATTTCTATAAATTAACGGTGGGGATATGGCGCTGACAGCTGATGCACAGGTCTCCTAGTTCGGCTGCAGATGCTATGTTTTCAAAGATATGTACTAATGAAGCTTTATTAAATGTTAAGCAAATACCGTGATGTACAACCTCTTGAAAATAAAGAACTTATTATTATTATTATAGAGCCAACTCTCGCTGTTATTTTTTACTAGCGGTCAATGTTTTGTTAAAGTACCTGTCACCTGTCGTGCTGAATTTAGTAACAAGTGTCCCTGAACCGATTCATCGGAAAGAAAAATAATTTGTATAAATTGGAGAACGCAGTAAAGTTTTTAAAATAAATAAAAAAATACTAATTACTTGGAATAATCGCAATACTTTCAATGTAAAATAAATAACTTAGATTTATTCAACAAACTTTAAAATCTCATATTTTAGGTTAGTTTCTTGATATTTCTTAACACTAGTTCATTTTCATAACGTCGGTAAAATTTAACGTTACTGACGTAAATTGATGAGTTCATACATGCATGCACCGTTGCATAAAAGGTATTTACCCACCATATTTTAAGATCAATTCTTTATTTTAGTGTTTGTTGAATTATTACATCATACGATATGCATAACGTCATCCATAGCATTCACCGGTTCGCAACGTTTCTTGACGAAAATGTTCTTCACTATTTCGTGACGGGACAACTTTTTGATAATCAGTTATTATATATGAAGTTGTTACCTATCCTTTACATCTGCCTCTAAATATACTAATGATGAATTACAGCACGAAAATGATTAATCAATTGTATCGTATTAGATGACAAAATATTTTTTCTCAAATGTCTAATATTAAATTCAAGGTATATTCCGTTCACATATTAACAGCCATAATTTTATATCGAACTACAAAACCTGTATTACATATATTTAAGAATTGATACTTACAAAAATATTTAAACGTATCGACAAAAGTTTAAGAAATAATCATAAGATTTCTTCCTCGACTGCAGTGTCAAGTTGTTAGAAGCATTTTTTTACAAATCTTCGATTTCGCCATCGTTTTAGGCTACGGTCTCCTATTAATTATGCTATACGCGACGTCCGACTTCAGCGTAAACGTTCCGATCGGCATGCGAACGCCAGGCACAGCGTCAGCGGTCAATACATGTCTTAGCAATGGACGACGTCTAGACTTTCGATCAAACAACAGTTAAGTAGCTGACAGTGCCCACGTGTGGTTGTGTATGATATTTGTACATAAAATGGATATAAATTCAATACTTTTCGCGGCGCTTGTGTTACTTGAAGAAGAGACACAAGACGACGTATACGAAGAAAAATAAAGGCAACAAGGCACCGATTATTTATGAAGAGAAATAAAGATGGATGTTTTCAGCTATTATAATCAAACACTTAAAAAACAGCAATTCTAAATTTACTGAATATTTTCTTATTAATCAAGAACAATTTAAACATAATAATAAATCAATAACTCGTCTTTTTCTTTATAAAATTTTGTCATTTTGTACTGACGCTAGACACGACCTTTACGCTGCAATGGTTCGAAATAACTAGAGACGCAGCGCAAAGCGTCTTAATCGCCGCCTACGACGTCCATACGCCGACATCAGCTTGTAAAAGAGACCACAACTGTACATTTATATAGTAAGCATTGTAACGCGGCGTACGGCGTGACGCTGTAAGCGGCCGATGGCGTTTATAGGAGACCACCGCGTTACAGGTACTGCAGTCAGTCGAGCTTACTATTAGTATAAACAAAGGTTGCTAAATCTTCTATTTTGTGAAATTAGTATATTTTCTACACTTTGACTTTGGGTAAGGAGTACTGTTGAAGGTATATTATTATGTCACCATCATAAACCTTCAGTAACCAATCTACTGTTCAAAATAAAACTTTATCAAACTTGCGACTGAGTGCATCGTTATCTTTTAGCAGATATTACCAGCTTCTGCAGGTATTCTGTATTGAATTTAGTAAAAGATACTCCTAAACCTGTAGTTGGTTAAGAGTCAGTTACTCGAGAATCTCCCTTTCCTAACAGGTATAACCTTACTGAACTGACATAACTGAACCTTACGTATGTTGTTCAGAGTACGTTAAGCACTCCGATTCTACTGCAGATGTCTTCGTTTCAGATTCAATCACACAGAAAATAGCTCGAAAATAGCTGAACTACACTTTTTTAATTTATATTTCCGTAATATTTTATTTTATACTACAGGATATAGAAAATAAACAACCTACATACATGCCGTTGCAAGACACGGATCTCATCACATTTTGTAAATGATTTTCGCAGCAAGGGAAAGCCTACCATTTTGTATATTTTGCATTCAATTTCAAATCCACCAAAATACTATATTTTAATTAAAAAAAAAAGAAATTATAGAAAACCCTGGTAAAAATATACAATAGCAATGTAAAATATCCAAAATAGCTGTAAGCAATATAACACAGAATCCATTTCGCTGCCTATTCGTACAATAAACTTTTCTACACATCTAAATAATCCTAATACTAAAGGTTTTACGTTTTATAACGCTATATATGAAAATTATCATTGATTACTCGACACACGCGGCTGCTTGTAAATTTACGTTAATAATCACCATTATATTTAAATTATCCTATATCAATTTATTCAGTTGAATTCTAAAGTCTAATATTTATATAAATGAGATAAAGCTCATTTAGGTTTTAGTTATGTATGAATGTAATTAATACATGGAATAGATTTCGTGTATACGTGTAAACATGTATAAATGATATTGACAACTTCAACTAAAACACAAAAAAATTTGTGCTGGAGGTACGGGTATAATTTGTTTTTTTTTTACTATCGATTTATATTGCTTTTACGTGCAGTATATAATATGAGAATAGTTTAATCATCTACAAATTGAGAAAGTAAGTATAAATCATGGCACCTAAGTTGAACCATGACCTTGAATGCGCAGTATTGCGGGTCTCAGTTGAAGTGGGGAATGAAGTGCCCCGAGAGTTCAGTTATTTTATTTGACATTTAAAATTCTGTCGATTGTGTCATCATTTAATATAATAACTTGATCACAACCAATTTTAACGAGACAGGGGAGTAGAATGATATTTGATGTTTAGAATAATTTTTTGAAAAAAAAAATTATATTTAAATGATTCTCTAAATAAAACTGGCGGAGGCTACGAAAAGTATTGTAAAATAAAGCAAAAGTTTAAGAGTTTATAATTACATTTAGGACCCCTGGTAAAAAGAGACAACGAATGACACCAGTCATAGGCATAGACGATTTTGACAAGGGGTAATAAAACGATGTACCTATTCACAAACTAACATGACTAACATAACTAACTTAGAACGCATTACCTGCCCTTTGTAAACTTCGTGCAAAATTACGTGAAGTTATAAAATTTGAAGGTTCTGAAAAAAGTCTTCGCCTGATATTTTATTTTCCGTTTAATTAAATTACTTCACTTTATTTTGACATTTTATGAAAAATATTTTTAAATACGACGAATTTTTAGTTTTCCTTTAAGGTTTTTGAATTGTTTTTGGGCAACAGTGGAGCATACGCTTAACACTTTTGTTCATAATTGTACCTGCGGGAACAACTGCAATTTTGGTTCAACTTACGTGCCGCAATCTATAATAATCTGAATGAGCTATTTAAATATATATAGACAGTCAAAACAATTTGACCATGGCATATATTCGATTACTACATTCATAAGAAAAGTTGACATGTCTTTTAATTTTATTTACTTATGTTTAATCAAAATAAGTATAAATTTTTGTATATACTATATTACAAAAGCGTATTTTATTATTGCGAAATCAAACAGCTACACTGCTCGCTCGACGCTTGGGATGGGACAGTTCTAAAATTTATTCTCAATAACTAAGTTCATATCGATTGCACCACCTAATTATTTACACAACGACACAATTCGATGTACGACTGATTTTTCTTCAAGCAAATACGTATTATTAATATTGCAAAATCGACCCAAGAATCAAGTAATGAGAAGTGTAGAATTTCAATGAATTCGAAAAATAAATCAAAAAACGCACCAAATGTAATTTTTTATATTTAAATAGGACGTGAATTTTTCCTATGCGTTGGGAAGATTGTTACTACGTATTTCGCTGGAGGCGTAATAGCGTCAGGAAATTTAATGCTTGACGTATGAGTAGATGACAATTCCAGCTAGGAGGAAGCCGAAGGTGATGGTGAGGGGCTTGTATAGAGACCTCTTGAGCGCGTGCCACCGCTCAGCGTCGCGCGCGCGCCTCTTCATGGCTGTCACGCGCTCCGCCAGCTCGCGCGTGCGCCGTCTGCGCAGCGTCTCCGTCGTCTCCTTGCTGCAAGACAAACAAGTGCTCTCTTGTCAACCATTCTATAACTTTGTTATTTACTGTACTACTACTGTATACTTAAACTTGCAGTTTGTTAGTGTAAACACCGTTATCCTTGAAACCAGTGGTTTGGTTTCACTTATAGAACGTAAATTCAATGAATTAAAAAAAACGCTATTTTCTTTCATAAAATTTAAAAAGTTTCTGTCCGACACCGTCAGTAAATTAATGGATACCCTATGCGCCCGAGTGACGTAACGACCACCGCCCGCGCTAGCTACCTACACAATATTCCAATAAAAACACAATAGGTACATAACCTGTGATGTAACTTTTCCTTCATACTTTCATATTGGCTTAGGGACAGGCAAAAATTGAGGAATTAAGGAAAAATTGAGATTTTACTAATAAAAAATGTTGTTATTTTTCATTGAATTTACGTTCTATAAATGAAACTAAACTACTGGTTTCAACGATAACGGTGTTTAAACTAACAACCTGTATAATACGTCCCACGGCCGGGCACAGGCCTCCTCTCCTTTCTAAAAGAGTTTTAAGGCAATGAAATGTCCACTGCGCTGCCCCAATGCGTGTTTGCGAACTGCACATGTTTACGAAATACTTATTTTTTCTTATTTCTCACACATGCAGGTTTCCTCACGATGTTTGCCTTCACCGCCGAGCACGTGGTAAATCAGCGAACAATCAAAGAGCCGTGGAAGCTCAAGTGCTAAACGTTCGCTGTAAATGTCATAGTACACGAGCATACATAGAACCCCGGGTTCGATCCCTGCAATCAATGAGATTGTTAATTGCTGTTTCGGACGGCAGGGACACGTCCAGTGCCCGCAGTCGCCCTGGGACAATCTCCCACTTGATGACGTACGTTCCTTGCTTAGTGCTGGTGTCGCACATCCCACGCACCCCTGAATGCGTATGTATAATACGACCCCACTAGGACCTCGAGAAAGAGAGAGTTAGACGATCAGCCGGGAGGAGGCAATTAAAATACTTTTTTCCTAGGTAGCTTCTTGTCCTTAGGTTTCCGCTTCCTTTTTTCTTGTTGTTGTAGCCTCTTCGACGGCTGTGCTGCGACTGCGATTTGAGCCGAAATTTGCTCGACTTTTATACCCGCCGGCGTTACCGTACGGACGTTAGCGCGGTTTTCCCTGTCTCGCGTGTTGTTTTTATTTCGAGCCGAAACCTTAGGAGCCTTTATTTATTAAAACTTTCACATAACCCTTACAAATTATACATTGTTAGATTATAAATATATAAACTATAGTTTATATTATTAATATATAATAAAACTATTAAGTTCTTTATAAAAAACTTCTAGAGCAAAAAACCCTACAAAAGTGTTAATTTACTATACATTTTGTCTTATATTTATTGAAACAGATGACTGATCTACTTATTTCTTTTTGTTTACATTATGTTACATATAAACCTTCCTTTAATCTAACACCAGTTTTCAAGCGCTAAACAAAACTTAAATTTTTTATAAGTATTTACAATACAAATTCTCGCTTAAAAACTTCCTTACAAAATAATTATTAAAAGCTAACCTTTAAACTTTGTAATTATAATATTTAAATTATATTCTAATATGAGTTAATACACATATATATACAAGTGTAATTCGCCTAATTACACTAATTGAGAAATTATAATAGTCTTAAAACACAATTCGTCACTTGGTAAATTATGCTTTGTCGCAGGCGCTAACTACACTAATTAAGAAATTATAATAGTTTTAAAACACAGTTCGTCACTGGTCAATTGTGTGCTTTGTTTGTGCGATGCCGCCTGGCTCGGCGATACTCCCGGCACCAGCAGCACTACTCTCGAAGTGGGTCTTCTCAGCACACCTCCGCGCGTCTCGACGTCGACGATTCTTGTTCGCCCATCAGGTCCAGGATACACTTCGGAGATTCTGCCGCGTGGCCAGGTGCATATCGGTAGGCTGTGGTCGACGATCAGCACGATGTCTCCAACTTGCAGTTCTGTGGCGCTGGTTCTCGCCTTCGTCTTCCTTGGCAAGAGAGTGGGTAGATATTCTCGCAGCCAACGTTGCCAGAAGTGGTCAAAAAGCCGCTGCGTGGTCTTCCCACGATCTGCCCACGAGTTCGTTGTCGTCGAAGCTGCCGATTCTCTGCGCCGCAGGACCGCCCGATGAGGAAGTGGTTCGGTGTTAGTGCTTCTTCTTCAAGGTTCTCAGAGAGGTATGTGAGAGGTCGAGAGTTGACTATGTGCTCGGCCTCTAGGAGGAGAGTGTGGAGTACCTCTTCTTGTGGATACTTTTCGAGAAGTATGGCGTCTAGTGCGGTCTTGACTGATCGTACCAAACGTTCCCATGCGCCACCCATATTTGGCGCACCTGGAGGGATGAACTTCCATTGCACGCCGATCTTCTCTGCTTCTGAGGATCCCTCTTCTTGCGGCGAATCGTCGCAGCGCCATGATCATGCTGTCGGTGGAGAGCGAAGGAGCTTGTTGTGAGGCATGTAAATAGAGCCCCCCATCTCTTTTCGAGCCGTCTTGCCACGGTGATTGTCATCGGGCCGAAGTAGTCCACGCTCCGTGCACGTAAAAGGAGGATATCTGTGTATCAGCCTTTCCGCCGGTAAGTTGCCTGTTGGTATTTCTTGAGGTCTTGCTTTCCTTGTTTTGCACCATTGACATTGATGCTGAACCGCTTTGATTGCTAACCTTAGACCGAGTCGTATTTCATTCATCACCGTCACGTGATTTCCATGATTGAAGCGGCAGTGGAATTCTTCTATGATGAGTTGTGTTGTCTTGTCCTTGCTGTCGAGCATGATGGGTCGTTTGTAGTCCCTGGTCACAACCTGTATCGCATCGATTCTTCCCTTTAGCCGCAGGAGATCCTCTTCTAGTACTACGTCGAGCCTTTTCAATTTACTGCTGCCCTCTAATTGCTTCCCTTGCTGAAGGCGCTTGATGTCTTCTCTGAAACTGTTGTCTTGGCTTCTTTTCAGCAAAAGAGTTTCAGCTTTCTCGAGTAGATCGGTGTCCATCGGTATATATTTCCTTTCTGTTATTTATTATTCTGTTATATATTATGTTTAAGATCTGTGTTGCTTTTCTACAGTCTTTCTTCCTTTTCTTTGTGTCATTTTTCCAAGTGGGATCATTTTTGCAGACGTTGACCTTCTTCCTTTTTCTGCAGAGTTGTAAGAACTGCAGTACCCTCGCTGTGGCTCGCCAAAGCCTCTTCCATGAAGAGAAGGTTCTCGGGTCTCTTTTTATCCAGGAAAGTACGATGCTGGAGTCTGTCCAAAATGTTTTCTTTGTTACTTTTAGGTCCAATTCTTCTTCAGGGGAATGAGCCAGTCTGCTTCCTAGGAGGGCTGCCTGTAGTTCGAGTGTCGGGATTGACACTGGCTTCAGTGGAGTGACTCTCGCCATTGCTGTCACTAAGCTGACGTGGTAAGTTCCATCTTGCCCTTCTGTCCTCCAATAAACTGCCGATGCGTACGCCAGCTCGCTTGTATCAACGAAAGTGTGTAGCTCCCCCTCGGTGCAATGTGGCGCCAAGCATCTCGGAACTTGCAGGCCTTGGAGCAGCTTCATCTTCTACAGGTCGGTTTTCCATGCTTCGTACTCCCTTTCTTTTATTTCATCATCCCAACCGACGCCACTTCGCCATATGTTCTGAAGCAGCTTCTTGTCTTGGATGAGAACTGGTGATGCTAAACCAAGCGGATCAAAGGTCGACATTACTGCACTGGTAACTTCCCTCTTCGTAGGCACCTTGAGTCCTCTTGCTATTTCTTCTGGTGTATTTCGGAGGTTTGCCCTGAAGCCGATGTAGTCCCTTTTGGTGAACCAGCGCAGTCCTAATGTCTTCTCTTTCTTCTCGCCTAGGTCCACTTCTGTCTTCTCAACAGTGTCGATCTTCACGTCTTGCAGCAGCTCGGGTTGATTTGACGCCCATCCCCTGAGTTCGAAGCCTGCCTTCTTGTGTATGAAGTCCACCTGCGTCGCCACTTTTCTAAAGTCTTCTTCTGAGTGGAAGCTGTGCAGGTAATCGTCCATGTAATGGTTTAGCTCGACCGCTCTTGCTGCCTCTGGATACTGCTCTTTGAAGTCCGCTGCGTTTCGGTTCTTCGGGTTCGAGATGATGTTGCGCCGAAGATAACCGATGTCATCCTGTACTCCTTCGGAGGCACCGCGCGACGAGCCCCGCGCCACAAAAACCTCAGGCTATCTCTGTCTCCTGGTCGAATGCGAACTTGAAGAAACATTTCTTTGATATCGGCTGCCACAGCTAGCGGGCCCTGTCGAAACCTTAGTAGTATCCCGAAGAGCGACTGTAGTAGATCTGGTCCTGGCAGTAGAGCATCGTTGAGGCTTCTTCCCTTTGACTTGGCTGCAGCGTCGAAGACGATCCTTATCTTTTTCTTCAGTGGATGTACTACGGAGAAGTAAGGGAGGTACCATTTCTTCTTGGAGTCCTTTTGTGTCATAGGTGCTTCTTCTGCATACTTGCTGTCGATAAAATGCTGGATCTGCTTGATATATTCTGCCTTCAGCTGAGGGTCCTTATCCATCTTCTTTTCAATATTGAACAACCGGTTCTTTGCAGAGGAGTAGCTCTCAGACATCTGTTCATCTTCATTTTTCCATAAGAGTCCAGCTTCGAATCGTCCATCTTCAAGTCTTCTGCAGGTTTTCTCTAGGATGGCGAGTGCATTTCCTTCGGAGTCTGTGGTGGATTTCCATGGTTGCACACCAAGCGCTTCGATTGCAAAGTGGTCCTTGATGGCTTGATGCATCTCCTCATCTGGTGTGCTGACATGTAGACACGTGTTCATGAAGTGTACTACTCTTAAAGCCCCGGTGTCTGATCTGTGGAACACCCATCCAAGCCCTGTCCTTGAAGCAACTGGTTCTCCTGGTTTCCCTTTCCTTACTTCTTGAGTCACTATCAGCTCCCATTTGTCTTGACCGAAGAGCAGCTGTGGTGATTCCCCTTTATAATAAAGAGAGTCGGCGATCAAATTCAAATGTTGGCATTCTTCTATCCTTTTCTTCTCTAGGAACTGTGGTGCAAGCTTCAGCTCGTTGATAGTTCGGACTCTCTTCAAGGTCTTCTTGCTTCTTTGATGAACCCCCTTCACTAAAAGATTCAGCGTCTGAGAATCCTTCTTCTTGATTTACCTGCCTCCTACTGTCTCGATGACCAGCTCCTCTTTGTTGCCTTGAGCGCCGACTTCTTCTGCCACCTTTGCATCAATAAGCGACACTGTCGACCCTTCATCCATGAGGGCCAATATTCTTTTGGATCCTTTTGGCCCGAAGACTTCTACTGGAACTATCTTCAGATATGCCCTTGCGTTGTTGACTGCATTCACTGATGTCATGACGCTTGTTACTTCTTCTTGTGTTTCCGCCTTCTTCTCTCCCGAGGTCCTATTTTCTGATTCGACGTGCAGCAAATGATGATGCCACCTCTTGCATTCCTTACATGGTGGTTTCTTGCAGCTCTCCTTTCGATGTTTTCCTTGAAGACATTTGAAGCAAACGTGACTTTTCTTTACTGTTGCCCATCGATCTCGCACTGACGTCTTCTGAAACTTCTGGCAGTCGACGATGAAGTGTCCAGCTTGGCACATAGGATAAGTCTTTTCTGTTGACTGTCTTGTATCTTTTTCTTTAAAGTCCTTTTCCCTCGTAGAATGCGTCACTTGTCGATGAGTTCTTCTGAACCCGCTCTTCTCTTCTGAGGTCGCGAAGGCTCCACATTTGTCTGCTTCGCTGTTCAGGAACTTGCAGACCATCGTCAGGTCGGAGAACTCGCTCTCTTCTGTTGCTGCCGTAAAGTCATACCATCGGAACTTCAGGATTGTAGGCATTTTTTCTATAATTTGTTTTACCATTTCAGGTGAGCTTGCTTCAGCTCCATGCGTGCTAATTCTTCTCAGGCTTCCAGCTCTCGTCTCATGGCTGAGGAGCTCGTGGTCTTCATGGACCTGGCGCGACGACTGACCCCCTTTGGCTTAAAGGTTGTGGCAAAGCCATGAACGCCCATGTCTGGAATATCCTCTGGAGTCTTCTTGGTCGTCTCCTTCTGTGCGGCTTCATCCTTCTGTCCGTTATCCTCGGACGCCGCCGTGGTGGCAGTTGCAACCGTGGTCTCTGTCGTTGTGGTATCCTCTGTGGTCGTAGTGCCTGAAAAATCTGACGTAGTTGCTGTTCCTGATGATGCTGACGCTGACGCAGACGTGACGTGACATCGATTGTTTCATAAGGGGGAAATTCGCCATAGTAGCCACGCTTAGCAAACGGTTTGACAACCGCAGATTTTATTCTGCCATCATTAGGAAAATGCTGCTCCCATCTCCTGATTCTTTTATCTCTGTCGCCTCTTACGACTTCAACGGGATGATGATGATGGAGTAATAGATATTCTTACACCGCCACTACACAGTAGAATACCAGTGACAACATCCGAATAATGTCATAAGTTATTACCATAATAAAGCCCGCAGGTAATCACTAACCTGGCTTACCCCATTCGTGTTCTGCGTATCGCTTATTCTAAAAGCTCCATAACAGGTTAGGATCTAGTGCCATCATCAGGTCACAACCACAGAACTACCAACCCCAAAGACAAAATATTAAAGTTTGTGAACAAATGTTATCCCCAGCTGGCATTTTGACACAAGACTTGCAGCGTAATAATCAGGTATCTAAATATTATCACGCAGTTACCGTTAAATTCTTTTTTCCAAATAACAAGAAATTATTATTTCGAATTTCATAAAGTGAACAAAGCCAGACCTATCTGACAACGAAGTATTGCATTTGAATCAAAAGGAACTAATAATTATAGTTTAATAAGAATACTTCACTACGTAATCGGAAGTAGCTATTCCAATTGCAAGAAATTGGCTAATTTCATGATCTAGGATATTGAGCCAGCTCAACGGTTAGAGTTTTAACTACTGAGTCCTGGATTCGAATCTAGAGGCGATATTGTGGCTAAAACAGTTTATTAGTTTTCGCACTTGACACTTCATCCAAGCCATGTCAGATCTATGGCTCACGCCACCTCTGATGGCCCACGGCAAAAACTGGAACTAAATTTGAGTTTCGCTATTTTCACTTAATAGGTGTCGTTAGTCAGAAGAGTTTGTGGAAAGTTATGCTCTAGTGTTTTAATTGTATGTTGTGAAATATAAGTAATAATGGAAAGTTGAAAAGTGTAGCCAGTGAATTAATCCTTAAAGTAAACGAATATCGTGAATCAGAAAAGAAAAATAAAGAGCTATCAATCCCGCTACATAAAGTGGAGCTGAGTCGTGTGCCACGTTAGCGCGACGCGTTTTGCGTCTGCAATGAGCGGGAAAAATAACAATACACGACGAACGGGAGGTTTTTTTTTATAGAATAGGGGGCAAACGAGCATGCGGCTCACCTGATGTTAAGTGACTACCGCCGCCCAAGGTCAACCGCAACACCAGGGGAATTGCAGGTGTGTTGCCGGCCCTTTAGAAAGGAGTAAGCTCTTTTCTTGTAGGTTGGCGCGACTAGCGTGCGCGTCAAACGACCGCTACCAGCGTAAGAGTACGTGTTCGCGCGTCTTGCGGATTAATCAAAACATGTTGCTTTTCCGCAACGCAAAATATAAATACGGAGACGTTTCTCTTTTATTCATATCCATACAAACTTTCATATTTATAACTCATTTTTAAATAGAGATTTTGGTATGTATCTGCCATAGAACATGTATAATTTAATCTCTCCCAAGTGGACAATACGTAAAATCTTATCATTTTACTGGCAACATTTAGCTATCTCTATGATAGCAGCGCCGTGACTATTAGTGTCGTATATTACATGCTCATGCAGGTGTCAATCAATTCCATCAATCATCATTGATAAAAAACGGATGGTGACTGATAGGCGTACATTACGCGCTCATACAGGCGTCAATCGCTGCATTACACGGTAGGTTAATGGTCAATCACAACCGTGATTGTTGTAAAACTGACAGCCTGCATGAGCGTGTAATGTACGCATAGACATCAGTGGTGGCGTTTAAGACTTTACGCGACAGGACGGCATGTGAATTTTTTAGTGGGGTGGCGTACGAGGCAGTTTATATCGATAATTTTATTTGCAACGCAATCATTAAATAAGGTGTAGTATAAGTAAAATGAAAAAATATTTTGTTGAATTATACCGGTTAGTTTGGTTCTATTGTGGACATCTTCATTATGAATTTTATCACAGAGAAATTCTCAGTATAGCCTTTTCCATAGCTCGCAGAGCGACCTTAAGTTCCTTATAATTAAAGGAAGGAAGGTTCCATATAAGGAACAATAAGGCTAGCAGTGAAAGACCACGTCTCAGTTCCATATGTGGCAAGTCTCACTGGTTGTATAGTACTCAAGTTTTGTGGGAAACGTAACATGATAGTATCGTAATCTCCCGTATGTATCGTATCTTCCGTATGTGTGGTAATCTCCCGAACGCTTTGTGACCGTATTGGATCCGTCCATTGAAAGATTATTGGTCGATGTTAGGCTTACTTGGTAGGACAATAATTTGCCTTAGGCTTAGGTAAAGATTCTCGTGAACATTTTTGAATGGAGCGTAAAGTTCCCAACAACTATTAGTATCTCATTTTTCTCTCTGTCCACTTTCTGTGTGGCCGTTTCTAAGTACTTTGGCGCGTTTGTTCTTTGTATGGTTTTATAACTTATCATTATCAGTCACATCATTTAAAATACATTTGCCTGATTTCGACAATTGGCGCTCTAGTAACCAAATACAACACTCCTCATTGTACACTAAGAAAAACATACATAAATATAATACCTACGTAACATACATGATAAATAAACAAACAAAGATAACACAAAGGCGGTCCACAATCGGCAATTTGTTCCAGACAACTTGCAGACAACTTAGAAGGAAACAAAAGATAAACACAATATGGATAGCGTAGGTATATCAAATGACAGATCATTAGGATCAGGACAGGAAACGATGAAGGAAGAGGAAGAAATTAAAGATAATGTTCCTTAAATTCTTTTGAAATATATCGGTTGTTTAAACACACTTAATATATGGCGGTAAAGAGTTTCAAAGCTTCAAGAATTTAAAAACGGTTTTTGTAAAAAATAGACGAGTGCAAAGGACAAGAGAAAGATTTAGATTTAGGTAATAGTTGTGATCCAAAAAAATGTGATCCAACTTGTTCATATCATTTAACTCTAGCTTATAGAATCTTACAAACTATAATATTGATTCTCTTATTAATATATAATTTTTAGTTTATTTTCTTACCTCTCCACCGGCGAAGTAATCGGTTCATCATCTTCGTCATCAGCGGATGAAGCCGAGGTGGGGCAATCTCGTGCAGGAGGTGTGGGTGGACCTTCATCGGAGCTTGATGACTCTTGCGTGGCCGAAAAGTTTAAGTTACCTGAGAAAGACATAATATGTTGTGACCAGAAACATGCACTGGGTTATCTGCGTGTGTACAGCAGCTCTTTTTTACTTAATAGGAAAAATTACGGGATTTTGTTTATAGAATAAGAGTAACAACGAGCACACAGTCACTTGGTGGTAAGTGAATGTTGTGACCCATAGATTTCAACATCTAACCTCAATTAAGACTTAAAAAGCAGATACGTTGTCACCCCTGAGGACTAAGACGAAATGCCTTGTTTCCCGTAAAAAGGGTTTCCGGTTCTCTTCACTCATTATACGAAACACAGCAGCATTAACCTAATATTTTACGCTGGTACACTGAGAGCGTGATCCTTCCTCGGTCATGTCGACCCATTGTTACAACCACAATATAGTTGTAGCATGGCCCTACCACGTATAAAGGATGTGGATTTGATCTCCTTGATAGCCCAGCAGCTTATATTTTGACAAGTTTATCATACATTATGCGAGACACCAAGTAAACAATAGAACATAATATGGGAACGGCTAGAAGAAAAAAGCGTGACAAATCAAATTTTGATTTTATTAAGATTATGGCTACTAAGATTCCTTATCTATCATACGAAACACAGCAGTAGAAGTAGAAGTCCGAATGGATGTGGGCTCTTATTTATTTCTGCCCGTCAAATAGTAGCGCTTTCCTGCGTTGCTGTGTTTCGATCTGTATTGTATAGAGAGCCAGTATAATTTAAAACTGTAAGTCATTCCATCTCAGTCCTCGGAGGAGTTCTGTGTTTAAACTTAGCTGCAAATGTCTATGTACCGTAGAAGATCATCAGGCGGACTTGAGGCAGTATTATATTGTAATATTTTATAAGTAGAATTATATAGTAATACGTGTACGAGAACCTTATATTATTTACTTTATTTAATTAGAACTTTATTTTATTTACCAAGCTTAAGCATAACCAGCCCGTCTTTCAAATACACTAACCTCACACTATTATATGCATATAATGTCGGATTGACTGAATTCTAGACAGCTATATTTAAAATATTGTTCATGAGATACATGTTGAAGATTTTTAAACTATATTATATACATTTAACAATTTTATTTGTTAGATGATTTATATGAAATTAAAAATATGGATTCTTGTCAATATTATATTAAAGATATTAATACATAGTTATTAGACAAAGATAATGGAATATAACTAATATTATTACACAAAGATTTCAACAATTTGGATGTGTGGGAAAATCAATATAAAAAAATTACGTATCTGAATAACTTACGTATGATGAATCACATGACTTAGATATGTTAAAGAGAAATTTCTATACAAAAAATTTACCCGACTACAACGAAGCAGAAAGGAGGTATATGATTTGTCCGATATGTATCTATGTTAATCTGTTCTCTCATAACTTCTAAACATCTTTAGCGTTCTCTAGCGTCGTCCGCTGGGTATAGACTATTTGACGTCACATTAAATTGAATATGGTACCCGATAGGGGACTTAATGTCATGAACTAAAAACTATATACATAGTACGATGTATTAATAGTTAGCTGTCGCTTGCGGCTTTGCATAAACATATCTGTTTTCCAAACCTACCTAAAATACATATTCAATTAATACGTATTTCATAAAATGTTGAATCAAGATCTCTTGAGGAATTGGAGAGGTTAAGAAATCTTTCATATTTTGAAACAATAGGGTAATACGTCCCCCTGATGGAAAGTGGTTGCTGTGGTCCATACACATCTACCATCTATCCTTGATTATGAATTAAAATACAGATGCGTTATCACCTGTGAGGACTAAGATGGAATGCCACGTTTCCAGTAAAAAGGGTCTCCGGGTCTCTACAAACACCATACGAAACACAGCAGCATTAAGCTATTATTTTACGATGGTATTTTGTGAGAGCGTGGTCCTTCCACAGTCGAGCTGACTCATTCGTGCTACAACTATACTACTAATATAGCTGCAACATATAAATACATATGAGTAAATTTGGAATATTACCTAGATACATGTAAAATAATCAAACATAAACAAAAAAGTGTTATGCAGCTCTGCAAATACTGTAGCACTAAGTTCTAACACTAAAATAATTAAAATAAAAAATAAGTTCAAAAACTAAAACCCTAATAATGAATAAAAACGCTCTAAAAAGTGTGAAACAAGAAAATATTCTCATCTGAAATTGTCATGTTATATTCAATATTTTTCGTCTATTAAATAAACAACGTACACGTAATAATTATTAATGTATTTAATACGTACTCATGTTGATGTTCAGAAGATAGTCGTGGTCTTATGCCACCAACCATAAAAACACAATACTTTTTAGGTAAGTGCTTTACAGCCTTCGATCAATAATAGTACATTGATCGAAGTTTACAACACCCATAGTTACGGGTGGTACTTAGATGATTGACGTTCCGATGTCATATTTCATCCAGGCTAGCTTCAGCTTATGAATATTAAGAACATCGCATATTGAAATATGTTAAATTTAACGCGATAATATCCGTAAAATTAGTATTATTCATTAGTATTTAATTTAGTCTACAGTCTACACCCATGATCATAGAATACTGTAATACACAATAGAGTGGCTGTCAACCTTATTTTGTACGAGGATCGGTGTCGCCGGGAGCACAAATACAAGCAATTACGTCGTATTATCACTACTACATACCTGATTCGCTGCATTGACAGACTGAGCGAATTTACATATTTTAGACTTTTGATTAATGTTTTTGACACATCAATATTTCTTTATTTTTGTTTCTAATATTTACAAAATATAAATAATTTCGTCTTTCTGGTTGTAGGATATGTTTCCTTTATTAAATTCCATTTCCCGCTGTTCTTTCAACACGTAATTATTGCACAATTTGCTATTTTTTTACATTATTTGCATACAGCGACGCTTGACACGAAAATCGAAAACGATTGGTTGTGTTGACATTTATAAGTGTGAGTTGATATGTTAGTGACATATTAGTGGCTACACGGGCTCCGCCCACTCCCCCGTTCTAATAAGTATGTATTATAGTATTCTATGCCCATGATTATGAGACAGATTAAATCGTTCCCAGACTGGGTCTGTGTCTCTGGTTCACGTATTAGAAACATTATATTCAATCTTATTCCAATATCCACCAATTGTATATTGAGGTAAAATTTAATATTCTCACCGAGAGAAGCGCTCGTTGGTATCGCTGGCAGCGGTCGAGCGGGCGCTTTAGTGAGGCTCTCGGCACGTGGTGGCGGCAGGGGAGGGGCTTCCTCTTCCACATCTTCTGCCACAGCTGAGTATATACTCTCCTCCATCTTTTGTTCTTCTTTCTGAAACCAAAAATTAGTGCTGGAACACACTTGGCAGAACATCGTTTTCTATAATTAAAGAGTGATAGTAACCCAGCCTATTGCAATGTGAAAACTTTATCTGATGTTTTTGAAGGATAACGCCTCATAAGACGCTATTGCCGCTTTTGCCAGCGGACTTAAATCGAGTGTATTTTAACTTGCATGTACAAAGTTAGCACATTAAATCAATCAACAATTTGAGTGCTACCCGCATGAGAGCACAATTTAAGATTGCCAACATATGCTAAATACTACGGATCGATCACGATTTCTGCGATCAGTTATTTTCCGCTCGATTAGCTACTAGATTAAATCGCATCGAATTAGACGTGTCCCGCGTTACGTTTTGCGCGTTAAGCTATCGGTGTCAACTGCTTTTGGAATATCATATATTATGTATGTGTAAATTTATAGCTGTTACCCTAACTCGTTTATTTAATTAAAGTTACAGCCTATATACGTCCAACTGCCTGGCACAGGCCTCCTCTCATTTATGAAAGGGCTTTTTAGGACAAGGAAATGTACGCCGCTCTGCCCCGATTCGTGTTGGCGAATATGTCCTCGAAATATTTCTTTTTTATTCTCAGGCATGCAGGTTTCCTCACAATGTTTTCCTTCACCGCAGAGGACGTGGTAAATCAGCACTCAAAATTGCAAATAACAATGTCGTTGGTGCCGGCGGGAATCGAACCCGTGTTGCTCACACACTATTAAATTAGTGCGAGCGCTACCATGGCTCGCCTATTAGGGCTGTTCGTTTATTTAATTATCATAATTTTATTAGCTACTGTACAAAGTATACTGTTGTTGAACATAAAACCATTCCCAATATTTTTTTAATTATGTTGGTCATGGTAGCAAGCAACTACATAACATACACATATTTTGTAATTGGTTGTATTAGTGCTTGGCGTATAGGATGGTTATATCGTTATATTGCAGATGCCACAAGATTTCTTGATAGAACCCTTAGTCGATTTCTACTACATTCAGGACAAGTAATTTGAGGGATTGTTCACGCTACCTACACCTAATCCTCCACGACATTCCCACAACGGTTATGACATAGCAAAATACTGTAAGCAAAATACAAACATGAAATAATTAAATCGGCTATGTATAATACAATAATAAAATGAAATTTCATTTAACCATGTCACCAGTAAATTTATTGTTTGGTTTTGGTTAATTAAATGTATGCAATAGCTGTCACCACTGTTACTAGGCCGCAATACCGGTCGATCGCTTTGTAAATTAAGGTAAAGAATAACGACGAAGGAATGTCTATGTTTGTAGTCGTATACTGAACAAACAATATTCTACAATTGGGTCGAATTCAATGGATTTGCATTTAATATACATATATGAAACAGTTAATATAATATATTAACAAACTGTGATAGTCAATTAGTCACTCGCAATGCGCTTTAAATAATTAAAAAGAAATCACTAGTTAATATATAATAAGCAATACGTTCTTATAAAATATCGTAATAGTATAATATTATGCTTTGCTAAACATCGCAATGCGTTGAGTCGATAAAATAACAGATAATGTTACTATTTTATGTTTGTTTAACTTATATACGACGAAAATTCTAAGAGTTACTTAGATTTTACATTTTCAAAATATGTCTGTCGCTATCGTCTACGTCTAGTTGTGATTCGCTTCAAAATCGAGTGTGATGGAGTTACCGTGATCGTCAGAGTAGACATATAAGCATTCACATTACAAGTGTTTCGCAACGCTATTCTTTGTATTATATTTATCGTTAGTATTGGGTGTAGGTCTGGGAAGACATATACGGTTATATTCTTGGTGTTTTCCTTAGTAGACTTTTATGATCCGATATGACAGGATTGGGTGAATTAAATTTTTAAAAATCTATGGAACAGTGCATTCGGTAATATCGTCTAATAAAAAAACCTAAACGCAAATTATACGCTAACATAAATAGTCTACTTAGTTTAACTTCGGTGATTGTGTAAATAGTAGTGCAACAGATAATACATACATTAAGATTTAATATCGGTAGCAGATAACTTTCGCTTGGCAAAAAGATATTTGTGAAATATACAACTGCCTCGAACTGTAGCTTTTGCACGGCATCTGCATATAGCAAAGTAAACAGTATGGACATAACATAGGAGATAGGATACAAGAATATTTTGTGTCAGCACAGAAATTCGTGGTATTGTGCTGTGAATGAACCCGTGTAACTAAGCACAGAATCGCATAAGCGTCATCGTAAATGGGAAAAAAGAGAGTCTCCTTATCATCTGCATTAGCGCGAACATTTTTGGCACTACAGTAAGGCTTTGAAAAGTATTAGGACGCTGACGCCATGATCGGAGCGAGCAACTTTGGATGGAGGACAACTATTTCATCAGGCTATAATAGTCAAGTGACGACATGGCATTTCTCTAAGAAGGCTTTGCCGTCGCCAAGCTTGGCAGACGGTTTGGTGACCGCAGTACAAGATATCGCCGATTTGGCTATTTTATCCTTTCTTGGAATTTCTCATAGTCGCGTTTACGAAATCCACGTAACGAAACCGAAAGATGGCACCTCTTATACAACCACTATACGAAACGGCACTGAAGGAAGTATATCATCGTCTCCACTATCGATGCATCAACCAATATACAATCTAGAAATAGTATAAACAATTTAAAATTTTGTTCATTTCAATATCGAAAACCTTATTGATCATTCTGTGTTCAATGTTAACACCAATCAAAGCACACCCATTATTCGCCGACATTGCGAAAATATAAATTCTTTTGTTTATATCATTCATTCGTGCAAAATAAATTAAGGAGCAAAGCTCTAGAAAAAAATCCACTCCACAGTAACAAAATATTTTCATTATTAGTAGCGAGCACTTAAACTCCGCTTTTATAACGTTATAACGTGATTTATAAAAAGCAATATTCTTCGACAGCACAATAATTCCTTTTTTTTCTTCAAGAAATAATGAAATATTTTACGCGACACATACAAAAATATTCTTAAAAATATATTATAGATATAATATATTGTAAAACATAATATTAAATATGAAATTCTGGAGTGTAATGATATCAATGTTGTTGATGATATCACGTAATAGTGAAATCGCAAAGTAGCTCAAATAATCAATATCATTAAAAAAGTATCATTACACGAATCTCATGAACTTCAGATAAGAAATCATTACGCATTAAATTTCATATTGATATATGATCATGATCATTAAAAAATTAAGAAAATGTTCCTAGATCAAGTTTTGTATTCGATCAAGACCATGCCAACGTCATACATACATCTTCGACGACAATACGGACGGCGGGCACCTCGCAGAGCCGCAAATCAGAAAATGCAAGGTGCTTTTAAAATCTAAAAATTTTTTTTTATAAATGTTTTAAAGAATTCGCTATTTTCGAATATATTTGTTAAGAAATATAAACAAAAGCGTAAATGAGGCAGAAACTATAGCGCCCACGCACGTCTGTAAATCAGAATATATGTAGGTACTTGAACTCTCTTACAAGAAAAGAAAATTAAACCAATAACATTTCAAATTCTTATATTTAATGTTCGTACATTAAAAAACAAAAACGTTAATTAAACTATAGCGCCAAGCACGTCTGAAAATCAGATTATAGGTACTTGAACTCTCTAACGAGAAAGGAAAATTAGATCAAAAACATTTTAAAAACTTATTTAATGGATGCCTCATATGTTAGGTAATCATCATAATTATATGTTGTATATAATGTAGCGTGAATCTAGTTGTAATAGTGTGGAATAACCCAAAATGAGGGAAGTTTTACATTGTATAGTATACTTAATTGTAGTTTATGTGTAAAATGTAGTACAAATATTTAGTAAAGCAGACGCCGGTAGTCTAATCATCATTATTACTTCTTTGTCATCAACTCGTGAGAGTCCACTGTTTGAACACAACCCTCTACTGTTATAAGGAGAATCAAGCTTGGCAGGTAGATATAAGTCGAATCAGCAATATATGATTTAAAACCAAAAGAGTCGCTCAGACAAAAAAGTAAGGAAATTAATATATTAACTCTGGCCTCTCAATACAAAACTGTCAAAACTATCATCATAATTATAAGGAAAAAAAAGCTAGGAACAGACAAGCTAGCCGTGTAGTGGCGGTTGAGAATATCCACTACCCCATATCTTCCCGTGGGTGTCGTAAGAGGCGACAGAGGGAGACAGGCAGGAGATGAGCAGCAGCATCTTCCTGATAACAACAGTGATATAATAAAAACTGCGGTTGCCAACCCGCTCGCCAAGCGTGGCAACTATGGCAAATATATGTAATATATTTAACGACTAACGACGCAAAAAAACGGCCCCCAGTCCCCGGCGGCCCCGCTATTCCTGGCTACGGTGGCGACCATGGTAACGGCGGGGCAGGGGGTGCTAAGAATCTCCGGTGGAGGTTCGGTTGACACCTACGACGACTCGACCTGGCAACATATAACGCACGCACCCTGAGTACTGACGATAAGATACTAGAGCTGGAAGAAGAGGTAGACAAGTTGCGTTGGCATATTATTGGATTATCCGATGTCCGAAGAGAGGGGGAGGACACGGCAATCCTCGAGTCCGGCAACTTGTTCTACCACCTGGAGGGCGACCATCTGTCCCAAGGAGGTGTCGGATTTATCGTCCACAAGTCTCTCGTCAACAACGTTGTAAAGATTAAGAGTGTGTCGACGAGGATCGCGTACCTGATACTCACTATACGGTGTTGATGGGAGACTTCAACGCAAAACTAGGCACAAGAGAAAGCGGTGAGCTGAAGGTAGGGAAATTTGGAGTAGGGCAACGGAACCGAAGGGGCCAGCAGCTGTCCGACTTTATGGAGTAAGATGGACTCTTTATGATGAACTCTTTCTTCCAGAAGCGGCCCCACAGGAAGTGGACCTGGTCGAGCGCCGACGGTTCGACAAAAAATTAGATTGACTTCATTATGACGACCAGACGCCAACTGTTTAGTGATGTCACAGTGATCGCAAGGGTGAAAACTGGCAGCGATCACCGAATGGTTAGAGGCACACTGAACCTAAACGTTAAGTTGGAGAGGTCTCGTCTAATGAAGTCAACGCTCCGTTCCCCTCGTGCTCTAATCCAGAATCCCTTTCAGCTCGAGTTACAAAACCGCTTTCAGTGCCTAGATTTGAAGATTGCAATGCAGTGGACGATACGAATGACAAGCTCGTGGAAACTGTCCATGCGGTCGGAGCTAAGTTCTGCAAGACCCGCCGCAGAAGAAAACAAAAACTCTCCGATCACACTCTTAATCTCATGGCTGTTAGACGGGAGATGAGGCTGCAATCGTCAACAGATTTGACAGCATACAGGCAACTGAACAGACAGATCTCCAAATGCATGCGGCGAGACTTACGCAACTTTAATACTGCTCGTATTAAAGAAGCGATCGAGCGGAACCAGGGCTCCAAAGTCTTTGCCAGAGATCTGTCTGCCAGAAAGAGCCAACTGTCAAAGCTGATGACTGAGTGTAGCAGCATCGTTTCCGGGACACCTGAGATTCTGAGTGAGATTGAGAGGTTCTATGGGCAGTTGTACACATCATCGTTGGAGCCACACGCAAGTGTGAGTAACGATCCAAGAGCAAGTCTTATCCGACACTATTCCGATGATATCCCGGACGTCAGTCTGAGCGAGATTAGAATCGCTCTCCACCACCTTAAAAACGGCAAGGCCCCGGGCGAGGATGGAATTACAGCGGAGCTTCTGAAAGCGGGTAGAACACCGGTACTTGAAGTCCTTCAGAAGCTCTTCAATTCCGTCCTCCATGGTGGCACTACTCCGGAGGCGTGGAGCAGAAGCGCGGTGGTCTTGTTCTTTAAGAAAGGCAACAACGCTCTCTTGAAGAACTACAGACCGATTTCCCTTCTGAGCCGCGTCTACGTGCTGTTTTCGAGAGTCATTACGAATCGTCTCGCACGCAGACTCGACGACTTCCAGCCTACCGAACAAGCCGGTTTCCGAAAAGGCTTCAGTACCATAGACCACATACATACCCTGCGACAGATTGTACAGAAGACCGAAGAGTACAATCTGCCACTTTGCCTGGCATATGTGGACTATGAGAAAGCCTTTGATTCCGTCGAAATTTGGACGGTGCTACAAGTCCCTTCAGTGGTGCCAAGTTGACTGTCGGTATATAGAAGTGCTGAAGTGTTTGTACAGTAGGGCTACGGTGGCTATCCGAGTACAGAACCAGAGTTCGAAACCTATCCAACTGCAGAGAGGTGTAAGACAGGCTGATGTTATATCCCCGAAACTCTTCACCGCTGCGTTGTAAGTCGTTTTCAAGCTACTGGACTGGAAAGGATACGGTATTAACATCAATGGCGAGTACATCACTCACCTTCGATTTGCCGACGATATAGTCCTTATGGCAGAATCGCTGGAGGACCTAAGGACTATGCTCAATGACCTCAATGGTGTCTCCCAACGGATAGGTCTTAAGATGAACATGGACAAAACAAAGATCATGTTTAATGTCCATGTCACACCTATGCCGGTAGTTGTTGGGAGCACTATGCCCGAAGTTGTTGAAGAGTACGTTTACCTGGGACAAATAGTCCGACTAGGTAAGTCCAACTTCGACCGAGAGGTCAATCGACGGATTCAACTCGGCTGGGTAGCGTTCGGGAAATTACGACACATCTTCTCTCTCTATCTCGTCAGGTATACCTCAATCTCTGAAAACTAAAGTGTATAACCAGTGCGTGTTACCAGTGATGACTTACGGATCTGAGACGTGGTCCTTCACTGCTGGCCGTATGAGGACGCTCAAGGTCGCTCAGCGAGCTATGGAGAGGGCTATGCTCGGAGTTTCTCTGCGTGATAGACTCAGAAATGAGGATATCCGCAGTAAAACCACAATGACCGACATAGCCCAACGGATTAGTAAGCTGAAGTGGCAATGGGCCAGCCATATAGCTCGAAGAACCGATAACCGATGGGGAAGAAAGGTTCTCGAGTGGCAGCCTCGTACCGGTAGGCGTAGTGTAGGGCGACCGCCCACTAGATGGAGTGACGACCTGGTAAGACATGCAGGAAGTCGAAGGATGCAGGTGGCTCAGGACCGTGCTTTGTGGCATTACTTGGGGGAGGCCTATGTTCAGCAGTGGACTTGTGAAGGGCTGTAATGATGATGATGAGACAAGCTAGTAGTACCAGTTACTTGACTCCGATTATATGAATTACCGAGTCAGTAATTCATTCTTGGGGCAATGTATACATACGCTTTTACAACAAAATCCCAGAAAATATACAAAATTTGACATACACAAAGTTCAAAAACTTTATTAAACTAAGTTTGTATAAAAATGGTTATTATAATATCAAGGAATTTATTAAGCCGTCTCACAGCCGTGACATTGTCACACTGCTGCATGTCATTTATTATTATATATCTATCATTTTTATTATTCTATTTCATAGAAACAAACATGTATTATGTTGTATTTCTATAGACGACAACGCTTATGTAAGAAGAAATGAAGTACTTTTCTCATACAAATTTTCTATGGCAAATAAAAAATTTACATTTTTATTTAATACAAAAAATACGGAATTATTTTAGTTTCTTTATTAAAAGACCTTAAAATAACCTATCTTTACTATATCAAATTCTTCAGATTTTTAGTTACTTGATGAAATATAAAATAACCCTGGACTCTATTGTGTTTAATTCAAGGATACGTGAAGTCCGCTAAAACGCATTTCATGTGTGTTCAAGCATTTTTTTAACTATAAACCAAGCGATCATGCAAGAATAGTAAGGCAGGTTTGGATTTCATCCTCTATTCTCACTTAAATATTAGTGCGCAAATTTTCTGCCGGTAGAACAAAATGCTAGATATATATATTATTATTTTTAGTATGTGGCCATTCTGTTGCGAATCTTCGATTCGGTAAAACAGTCTCTTTGTCTCAAAATCCAAATACAGTTCTCTCTTTCCCCGTGTTCGTTTTTCTACTTTGATTAGTTGTACACTAGATGCACGATATACGTTTAATCATAGAGGATTAAGAAAAAAATTCGCTAGGTGTTGCCGTATCTCAAATCGAAAAGTGTAACACTATACATACCCATTCAGGATTGAATCTTTTAGCGCCTTCTATAATCGCCTGGTACGAGAACCGAAGTTGATCTGGCGTTTGTATGAGACCCATTCGGTCTTTACGCATTTCCAGAAGAATCTGCTGGATGTTCACAATTCCGAAGCCCTCCTTTTCTATCTGAATAAAAAAAGTACAAAGAACGTTAAAGTAAATCGATGACACCTGTAAGTTTTATCTTTAAGGCTGTTAACAAATGGTAGGTCTTAATATAGAGTATGGACTAAAATTTTCTTTTAGTTCATTATCACATACTTTAAAACGATAAGGATAACTGTTTGGACGTCATCAATATACCATTGAAACCAAAATACCGTGTGATCTGCTTGGTGCGTAAGTGCTCCTTAAACTGCCTTCAGCTGTTTTTTTTCTTTACTATATTTTCTTTTCCCTAACAGCTCAAGTAGAATCCCATCTCGGGTCACCGGCTAAATAATAGATTGGGTGATAGCGAGTGCATCGTCCAAGACTGCCACGTGCCACATCAGCAATCTTGTTTGATTACAGGGAACCACGCATACAGTCCACCAAGAAAATCGATTTCGCATAATAAGTTTTTGGCTCGACCCGGGAACCCGAAACCCTATCGCCGCACCATTTTTGGGTCATTAGCGTCACCATTTTCTGGTTCCTCCGAACCGAATTCGAAGGGGCAGCCTGTGGCCGCACATTTTCTCTTCCTTCACCCTGGATTTTAAATTAGCTCAACCATTTTCTGGTTGAAAATGGTTGAGCTAAACAAAACACCATTTATTCAAGCGTTGTCTTATCGAAAGACTTTATACATGTTAAAGCCACACCAACTTACGGCTAAAACACGAATGGATCGTACCAGTATAGCGAATTATCTACTTAAAAGAGCTAGTAATTTCTTCATGGTACAATAATATATTACAAATTATATTGTAAAATAATGTTTATAAAAGAGTCCCGTTGGGTTTCTTGCTGGTTCTTCAAAGGTTTTTCCGAACCAGTGGCAAAATAATAAACTAATTTCAATAAATATTCTTGTAATCTACATTGAATAAAAATGATTATATCATCACAATATATAATAATTTCATTTTAATTATGTTCGCAGAACTAAACAAATTAATCTTCTCATCATTAAAGTAATGAATTTCCTCAAAATATTTCCCTATTCCAATTACTTTTAAGAACGACGAAATCTTTTCAAATACTCGTCGGGCTTCATTGATAAAATAATTTTTGTAATTTATCAAACAAGTAAATTGGATATTATTACAATTTGCGAACATTACAAAATACCGATTTGCAAAAGCTCTCTTAGCAGCAAACGTGATTTAATATTTTCCATACTTGTAGGAGTTCTATCTATACAAAAGGTTCAGCGTTGCTTGGAAACTTTCAGAAGTATTGATGCCTACTTCAACTATGGCACGTTTTCTACATGGAAGCTTGAATTTGTGTTGGTATCATATACATATACAGAAGACCATTAAAACCTTTGAAGTGAATGCTTCAGAGATTTTAATCGTATAGTATTTATGCCAAAGTGCTTTAATTGCCTGCTAATTTGCGGATCATTGATTCAAATCTCGCTCGGAGAAATACTTAAAAGTAGCATAAATTTAAACATCAGTTATAATAGCTTCTTGTTACCGAATGAATTTGGTACCCCTTAGTGGAACTAAAGTGACGTAATACACGTTTCCTTAGATACCCATCCCATCAAATATCCACTGTAGAACATAGGCCTCCCCTTTTTTGTGCCCGAAGCTAATAAGGGCAACCCTCCGGTAACGGGGGAGGGAGGTGCTCATAGCATACCCTGCATCCGGCTGCGTGATTATGTGGAGACTTTTACCCACTAAACACCAAACCAGAGTGTATAGGCCTCCCCTAAATATTGCTTTATAGGTTATAGGGTAGGTATTTAAAATTGTCGCCACGCTTGTGAGGCGGGTCGACAAGCGCAGTTTTCTATTGTTTGAGGCTGTTATAAGGATGTAGCTGTGGCCTATCTTTTGTTTCACTTTCCCTCTGTTGCCTTTTAAGACACCCTAGGGATGATGTGGATTATTAGCCTGAACGAAAGCTTGGACTTTTGTGGTTTCTCGACAGTGATATGTTCGGGTTCGATCTTTGGTTAAAGCGTATACCGAGTGATATTTTACAACCATCAAGAAACCGACTAAGCGTGAAGTTATTCGCATTATAAGGTTTGAATATGACATTATAATGCTAAGTATAATATAGTGACATCATCTTTAGTCTTCAGTCCTGAAAGTCGACAGCATACAAAAATACATATCGTCCAACTTTGTTTTAACGTAAAATAACGACTTTGTAGTCCACTCCAGAAAAAGATGTCGTCTACTCTTACTGGTAGGTAGGACCGGTGTGAGTGTAAACAGTGACCGGTAACCGGTAAATTTTTACACTTCTGTACTTAGCCTTCATTTCTACTAAAAAAAATATTTGGGAAAGAAATGTTCTTGAATGGTAGCTTCGTAACTGTAGGCAGAGAACCACAAGTAGATGGAGTGACGATCTGATAAGGCTAGGATGTCGGTGTAAGTAGGTAGCTCTGGACGGTTTTGCTTTCACCTTGGGGGTGGCTTATATTCAGCAGGGGACCAGTGAAGGGCTGTAAAGAAGACGACGATGATGATGATGACGATGACTAAACCATCTTTTTCTATAACAGCTCGTATCAGTTTAATGTTAAACAGAGATCTGTTCTAATATCAAACACCAATATGTAGTTTTGCAATCGCAGTAACAGATGACTCACACGTTCTTAGCTTCTGGGTATTTTACAGGTATCACATGTCAACTTGTCATACCGTCGTATAGTAAGCCCATAAGATTTCGTTGGTACTCCCATACTATACATACTTTGATTATATACATGTCTATACATACAAGCCATCATGACCATACCAAGCCATGAGATGAAATAATGTGTGATAAATAGTCGTCACTACACGGTGTTTTAAGTTCGCAATGCCATTACAGTTATAAATTGAAAGGCGTGTATCAAATTATTTAACACTTACAATAACGAGACATGAGTCGACCAAGCAGAACGTTCCTGAGCGGCCAATGCCGGCGCTGCAGTGCACGATCGCCGGGCCCACGTCTGCCTCCAAAGCTCCCGATGAACGAACTTTCTTTAAAAACTCGAGGAATGCCACTGGGGAACTAGGCACTCCAAAATCCGGCCATGTCGTGTAGTGAAATTGTACCACTTCGCGGCTTTCAGAACTCTCCATATCGAAGATTCTACACAGAAAATTATATGATTTTATTAGTGTTACCATTTGCCAAAAGAAAAACACATATTATTTTTATGGGAGAAGTCATTTCGAGATAGGCTCGTCCACACTGATTAGCAATCGCTTTTTCAGATCTCTCGCGCAATCAGACAATAATTATATAGTTAAAACTATATAATTATTTTATCTCCCTCAACTAACGTTTCATCACCTTTGGGTCTCCCTTAAAATGATGCCATTACCTCACTTACAAGCGAAGACATCATCATCATCATCATTACAGCCCTTCACAAGTCGCCACAAAGCACGGTCCTGAGCCACCTGCATCTATCGACTACCTGCATATCTTACCAGGTCGTCACTCCATCTAGTGGGGGGTCGCCCTACACTACGCCTATCGGTACGAGGCTGCCACTCGAGAACCTTTCTTCCCCATCCGTTATCGGTTCTTCGAACTATATGGCCGGCCCATTGCCACTTCAGCTTACTAATCCGTTGGGCTATGTCGGTTACTCTGGTTTTACTGCGGATATCCTCATTTCTGAGTCTATCACGCAGAGAAACTCCGAGCATTACCCTCTCTATAGCTCGCTGAGCGACCTCATACGGCCAGCAGTGAAGGACCACGTCTCAGATTCGTAAGTCATCACTGGCAACACGCACTGGTTATACACTTTAGTTTTCAGAGATTGAGGTATACCTGACGAGAAGATGTGTCGTAATTTCCCGAACGCTGCCCAGCCGAGTTGAATCCGTCGATTGACCTCTCGGTCGAAGTTGGACTTACCTAGTCGGACTATTTGTCCCAGGTAAACGTACTCGTCAACAACTTCGGGCATAGTGCTCCCAACAACTACCGGCATAGGTGTGACATGGACATTAAACATGATATTTGTTTTGTCCATGTTCATCTTAAGACCTATCCGTTGGGAGACACCACTGAGTTCATTGAGCATAGTGCTTAGGTCCTCTAGCGATTCTGCCATAAGGACTATATCGTCGGAAAATCGAAAGTGAGTGATGTACTCGCCATTGATGTTAATACCGTATCCTTTCCAGTCCAGTAGCTTGAAAACGTCTTCGAATGCAGCGGTGAAGAGTTTCGGAGAAATAACGTCACCCTGTCTTACACCTCTCTGCAGTTGGATAGGTTTCGAACTGTGGTTCTGTACTCGGATAGCCATCGTAGCCCTACTGTACAAACACTTCAGCACTTCGATATACCGACAGTCAACTTGGCACCGCTGAAGGGACTGTAGCACCGCCCAAATTTCGACGGAATCAAAGGCTTTTTCATAGTCCACATACGCCAGGCAAAGTGGCAGATTGTACTCTTAGGTCTTCTGTACAATCTGCCGCAGGGTATGTATGTGGTCTATGGTACTAAAGCCTTTTCGGAAACCGGCTTGTTCGGGAGGCTGGAAGTCGTCGAGTCTGCGTGCGAGACGATTCGTAATGACTCTCGAAAACAGCACGTAGACGCGGCTCAGAAGGGAAATCGGTCTGTAGTTCTTCAAGAGAGCATTGTCGCCTTTCTTAAAGAACAAGACCACCGCACTTCTGCTCCACGCCTCTTCAAGTACCGGTGTTCCACCCGCTTTCAGAAGCTCCGCTGTAATTCCATCCTCACCTGGGGCCCTGCCATTTTTAAGTTGCTGGAGAGCCATTCTAATCTCGCTCAGACGGATATCATCGGGGATATCATCGGAATAGTGTCGGATAAGACTTGCCCTTGGATCGTTACTCACATTTGCGTGTGGCTCCAATGATGATGTGTACAGCTGCCCAGAGAACCTCTCGATCTCACTCAAAATCTCAGGTGTCCCGGAAACGATGCTGCCACACTCAGTCTTCAGCTTTGACTCTTCAGCTTTGGCTATGACTTTCAGCTTTGGCTTTTTCTGGCAGACAGATATCTGGTAAAGACTTTGGAGCCCTGGTTCCGCTCGATCGCTTCTTTAATACGAGCAGTATTAAAGTTGCGTAAGTCTCGCCGCATGCATTTGGAGATCTGTCTGTTCAGTTGCCTGTATGCTGTGAAATATGTTGACGATTGCAGCCTCATCTCCCATCTAACAGCCATGAGATTAAGAGTGTGATCGGAGAGTTTTTGTTTTCTTCTGCGGCGGGTCTTGCAGAACTTAGCTCCGACCGCATGGACAGTTTCCACGAGCTTGTCATTCATATCGTCCACTGCATTGCAATCTTCTAGGCACTGAAAGCGGTTACGTAACTCGAGCTGAAAGGTTTCGGGATTCTGGATTAGAGCACGAGGGGGACGGAGCGTCGACTTCATTAGACGAGACCTCTCCAACTTAACGTTTAGGTTCAGTGTGCCTCTAACCATTCGGTGATCGCTGCCAGTTTTCACGCTTGCGATCACTGAGACATCACTGAACAGTTGGCGTCTGGTCGTCATAAAGAAGTCAATCTCATTTTTTGTCGAACCGTCGGGGCTGGACCAGGTCCACTTCCTGTGGGGCCGCTTCTGGAAGAAAGAGTTCATCATAAAAAGTCCCTCTTTCTCCATGAAGTCGGCCAGCTGCTGGCCCCTTGGATTCCGTTGCCCTATCCCTAATTTCCCTACCTTCAGCTCACCGTTCTTTCTTGTACCCAGTTTTGCGTTGAAGTCTCCCATTAACACCGTATAGTGAGTTTTGGAGTAATGCATGGCTCTAGAAATGTCCTCATACATTTCCTCCACCTCCTCATCGGGATGTTCCGACGTTGGCGCGTAAACCTATATGACCTTCAGCGAATACCGTTTGGTGATTCTGAGTATAAAGTACGCAACCCTCGTCGATACACTCCCAATCTTCAAAACGTTGTTAACGAGAGACTTGTGGACGATAAATCCAACACCTCCTTGGGACGGATGGTCGCCCTCCCGGTGATAGAACAAGTTGCCGGATTCGAGAATCACCGTGTCCTTCCCCTCTCTTCGGACCTCGGATAATCCTATAATATTTCAGCGCATCTTGTCTATCTCTTCTTCCAGCTCCAGGATCTTCTCGTCAGTCCTCACGGTACGTGCGTTAAATGCTGCTAGGTCGAGTCGTCGTAGGTGGCAACCGAACCTCCACCGCAGATTCTTAGCACCCCCTACCCCGCCGTTACCATGGTCGCCACCGTAGCCAGGAATAGCGGGGCCGCCGGGGACTGGGGGCCGTCTATTTGTGTAATTCTTCATGGGGGGTATATTGCCATAGTTGCCACGCTTGGCGAGCGGGTTGGCAACCGCAGTTTTTTATTATATCACTGTTGTTATCAGGAAGATGCTGCTGCCCATCTCCTGCCAGTTTCCCTCTGTCGCCTCTTACGACACCCACGGGAAGATATGGGGTAGTGGATATTCTTAACCGCCACTACACGGCATGCGAAGACAATAATTAATGAATTAAACTGAATATTTAAAAAAAATTATTTCTAAATTAAAAATCAATAAATGCTGCGAAAGAGTTAGATAGCGTTAAGCTAATAATATTTTTTCAATATCGAAATATATGTTGATAAAATCTACGAAAAGCATAACAACAAGTAAGTACTTGTCAACAGCCCACACTGTATTCCCGATTACTTTTAAAGAAATTTTTTTTATAGGATAGGGTGACAAACGAGCACACAGTCCACCTGATGGTAAGTGGTTGCTGCGGCCTATAGACATCTACATCAATCCTCGATTACAAATGAAAATGCAGATGCGTTGTCACACGTGAGGACTAAGATAGAATGCTTCGTTTCCAGTAAAAAGGGTCTCCGGTTCTCTACACTCACCATACAAGCTTACAAGCAACAGCACTATTTTACGCTGGTATTCTGTGAGAACGTGATCCTTTCCTGGTCGAGCCAACCCATTCGTGCTACAACTATACTACTAATATATAGGGATGCATCCGATAACGTGCTACTATATTATGCCGTGGTAAATTAAATTGCAAGAAATCATTAGTAAAGCATTATGGAAACTAAGTCTCGACAGTCACCCAGCGTATCGATTTTTATTAATAAATTTGTATAAATAACTTATAAAGATCGAGGCTCACATAATATTGGTGCTTCATTTCTACGCAAAAAATATAATCTGATTAATTAATTGCTCACAAAACAATCGCAACATCGAAGGAACTATATCAGCATAGATGAAAAGATTTGGAACTCAAAAAAGTGAAGTACACCAATTTTCATTAGAGCACCTCTTGTCACATACTTCTTGGAAGAAATATAAGACCAGCAGCAAAACGGTACAGAATTGTAGCACAGTACACTATATCGACTCAACACAGAAAAGTATACATAAGTGCTTATGTATACTCTAAGGTCCACTTTAATTATTTTTAATAAATATAAAAAAAACGTTGAATAAAAGTCAAGCTAGCAGCATCAACATCATTGAAACGAGTCGCTCCTATGCATACAATAAAACTAGTTACAAGTTACAACCACACTGCACACTAACCTAAATTCAGTTGTGCGGCTGAATTGACGTCCTACAAAAATGCTAAAATGATCAGTTTTTTTTCCTACAAAAAGCGATCCGCCACGTAAAATTTACATAATCATAGCGTTACCTTACGTATATAAGTAATTTTTAGTAACATTGTTGCTATTTACTTCTTTTTAAATTTAAAAATCAATAATAACGGTCGTTTTGCTTCGGATTTGTTTACCAACACAGGCTACTCGCCCTCATACAAAATGCAGATCGGTCTAGCGACTGGGCCGAGTCCTAATCCGAATTGTCGGTGTCACCGAGCGATAGTGTTATAATGTATCAATATGTATGTAAAATTATAAGTCTATTATTTTAAATGTTGTGTGATTTTCATAATGACAGATAATTGTTTTTGTGTGCGCAGATTTCCCCCGCAAAAAATACAGACCGTTCCGTATCGAGAAGAAACGTTATGACTACTCCCCTCCGGTCTGTAGTTGACCCGTGTTGCTGTATGTTGGAAACTCCCATATTTTTAAAAAGTAATATATGAACTCAGATTTAATATAGTAATAATTAATTACCTTATCAAAAAAAATATCAAGAAATACAAAGAAATTTAGAATTGTACGTCGTATCAGAAATAAATTTAGATTAGATATTTAAAAAATAAATAAATTTAATTATTATCAATTTTCTAGGAAATCATAACTTTAAGGACACGTACCTGAACACCCTAGTGGAGTAATAACTGCAGTCTTCCTCACTTATTTGTTCCACGGTGAGCTTGACGTCATTAAGGACCATCTTGTGCTGATCACCGATGCCGTGGGGCCAGTACCAGTGGCACTTAATCTCATTTTTCTCTATAATCTTGTTTAGCATTAGGATAGCGCGGCTGTTCTGCTCCCACACCATAAGCCAGAAATGGCCTACAGTAGATCCTAGCGGACCTTGCGTTAGGATGTATTTTCGGTTGGCCCGATCCATCTAAGGACAAAGAATTTTGATAAATTTTCTCTTAATAACAATAAATCTACTCGCGATAAGTATTTCATAAAATGGAGCATGTGTAATGTTAGTGCGTCACATACATACGAGGGGAGGTCAATAAGTTTGGGGAAAGAAAGGGAAAAAGGGGTTAAAATTAAAGATGAAATTATTTTTCTTTAACGATATATTAACCCTAATACCTTCGAAAATAAATGTTTTGTCAAGGCTCTCAAAATAGGCAAAAATTGCCGACTTCAGTTCTTCGTTATCAGTAATTTTTTCCCAGTAAGCTCTTTTTTTCATATTTGGCAACGAATAATAATCTTAACGGGCCAAATCTTATAAGGAGATTGGTTTATAGTTTTTCATAGCCGCAATTGTGTAAAGAAGGCATCGCAACATGACTCTTGTGAACGGTTATGCGTTATCGTGCAAAAGGATTTGATCACACCTCGAGACCACTTTCCTCTTCTTTTTTTGTTTAATCGTATCTTTTAATTTTTATAGTAGCGTAACGTAATACTGCGGCGTGATAACTTTATTTTTATAGTATATCAATATCCTAAACAAATCCCTATGAATCCCAAAAAACTTTAGTCATAATCTTTCCAGTCGATTGCGACACCTTGAACTTTTTAAGCCACTGCATGAACTCCTCCTGCTTTGCTCGTATAATAGTCACGGATGTGATAAAGAAACGGCGACCCAAGTGGTATGTCTGGAGGTTGCCACATGTAGGGCTAAACATCTCGGCACGCCAAGGTCGCTCTCCAATGACCACTGACTTCTTCGAGATTTCATGCCTCGTTTAATTATAATATTCTTGTCCATGCGCAAAATACGTGCTTTAGACGTGGAGTTTTTTTTAATAGGATAAGGGTGACAAACGAGCACAGTCCACCTGATGGTAAATGGTTGCTGTGGCTCATAGACATCCAAATCTATCCGCGATTACGAACCAAAATACAGATGCGTTGTCACCCATGAGGGCTAAAATGTAATGCCTCGTTTCCAGCGTTACAGAAAATAATCCGTGGCAAACTAAACTAAACTTTCAATTCAGAATCATAACCTACTGCAGTTAAAGGAACGACGCGACGCGACGTCTGTTGTAACAAAATTGATATTCCTGTATTGAGATTGCAATTCCTACAATTTAATACTCCTTTGAAGCGTACCGTCTGGTACTGTGTCTACACATCTTTATTTCATGTTCTGTTAAGTCGCCCTAAACACTACACTTACCTGTTATAAAAAAATATTTTTCACGACAGTAGGAGGCTTCCATAAAAAGAAATAATTTCGATTCTAGGAAAAAAGAAGTAATAAATAAAAATAAATAATCACATACAAACATGCCTCATGTCTTCACATCCTTCCCTACACTACCCACACTTCACCCAAAATCACACTTCTAAGGCTTATTTATATTATTACATAAATAGGACATATTTATGAATAAATATCATTCTCTTCGCTTGCAATTACGAGGCCAACTCTAAGCGGACAGCTCAAGACTTTCGTTATAATTCAATAATTCAAATTTGAACCACCATTCGACTGTGCGATAGCGACGGTTACTACCATAGAATACTATAATACACAATAGAATGGCTGTCAACCTTATTTTGTACGAGGATCGGCGTCGCCGGGAGCACACATACAAGCAATTACGTCGTATTATCACTACAATAAATCCGATTCGCTGTGTTGACAGACTGAGTAAATTTACACATTTTAAACTTTTAATTAATGTTCAAGAACATCATTAGAAAAAAATCGTTTAAATGTTAATACATATTTATTGGTAAAATTGTGCAATTTGGCATTTTCTAAATAATTTGCATGCGAAATTTGGAAACGATTGTAACTTCAAAACACATCTCGTGTTGACATTTATACGTGTGAATTGACATGTAAGTGACATTTTAGTGGCTACACGGGCTCCGCCCACTCCCCCGTTCTATTACGTCTGTATTATAGTATTCTATGGTTACTACTACGGTTACTGCCGTTACTCCCGGGGTACGAAATTTTCTTGTTGGAATAAAATTTTATCGATTGTGAGTTCGATTCTGTCGGGAGTAAGCCGTCAAGTTCACATCGTCTAAAGAAAGTTTTCATACTATTTATACATATATAGGCCTACGCGAACTAAAATACCTTCGTCTTTTTGGAAATCTTACTTTTTATTAGAAAATAGCTGGAAGTTTTATCCTCGTTACGAGTATAATATTAATATCTGGACCTGTTTCACGAGTTAACTTACTATAGTAAGCCGACAGAAATTATTCCTATAGTGGTTTCGGATTCAGTCAAACGGGTTAATCTCGGTCAGTATCTTAGATCATCTAAGACTAGGGCTTCGTTCGGCCCACTCCAGGCTCAGATACAGAAGGCAGTGCTCCTCGATGTTTATATGTAATTTTTTATAACAAGTGACAACACAAACGAGTGAATTTGGTCTACGGTTGTTTTTGTATGCTATGTGAAGGTCAATGATTTTAATTTTGGGTCTTTGAAAAGCTAAGCTTATATAGTATAGTTTAATTTTGCCTAATGATTTGTACTCAATATCTTTAGATTTAAGAAAAAATCAGTAATAAACCAAATTACAAGGAGTGTGCGATTTTATTGCTCTTTTTATTTACTTTTTATAAGCCGGTGCTTGACCATAATCCCACCTGGTGGTAAGTGGGGATGCAGCCTTATATGGTAAATCGCACTGTCTTAGCGTAACAAAAGCCTATTCACTCTTGCCTTGAAGACGCCGAGATTATATTCGGACTGAAAGATAGACGGCGGTAAATTATTCCACTCCTTTGCTGTACGCATTAAAAAAGTCGAAATAAACCGTTTGGTTCTAATGCGTGAAATATCAACAACAAAGAGGTGAAGACCCGCCGATCGCCTGGTCGTCCGATGGTGGAAGTGCTCGCAAGTGTAGATTTAGTTTAGTAAACAGTGCGGCTACAACTAGTTTTATTGTACGCGGTGACAGAGGAACGTCTCCGTATGGCTACTCCCCTACCCTCCGATCCGCCGGCGGCCGTGTTGTTCTATGCATTTTACATATCACCAAAACGTCTAAATTATAAAATTATTGCAATGAAATGAATTTAAGTGAAATCATGAGAATTTATAACAGAGTATTTATCACAGAACTTCAGTTAGTTATTAAACCATTAATATTATATTTTATTTAATAAGTCGGAGATTCTTCGTATTTTGTTTGTATAAAATTAAAGATAAATGTCTTTGGTTGTACTGTTTGTATCTGGCTGGTTTTAATTTCAATACATGTAGGACATTAGGAAAAAGAAAATTAAAAATTAAATAACACTTTCCCGCCATTTTTATTTGTTTTTCGTCCGCCAAAATTAGTAAATCTAACTAAGAAATTCGATAAATTTTGAAGTTTTATTACAAAAAGGGAAAAATGCAACTCAAGCCGCAAAAAACATTTATGACGTTTATGGACCTAAAGCAGTTTAGCGTTTTCATTCCGGGAATTTTGATGTCAAATATGCAGATCGCTCTGGTCACTCATACGCATGAAGTTAATGCCATTTTATAAAAAGTGGAGTAAGATCGTTATATTAGTAATTACGACATAGCAAAGGCGAAGCTAGGGCTCCAAACTAGGGCTGGCCCAAGATATAAATTGATAAAGATAGATAGATTGTTGTTTCACAGTTTTATAAAAATACACCAATCTTGATATGTCTCCGCTCTTCAGTTTCATTCAGTGCTGTCGAGGATGTGTTTAACTAAGCACACAGAAGGCATAACACTGCTAGATAGATTGTATGAAATAATATCAGCAATTGCATACCTTCGGTGGCTTTGAAAAAAGGCGTTTGGGTTTGTGTGAGCGAAAGAAAAAGATATTTACATACAATATATGTACAAAAGTAAAGCATGAACAAAGTACAAACAATGTACTAGTAAAAAAAAAAACAAATTATTTATATTCTAAATTGAATCGTCTCTCTTTCTTAATGAAATATTTGATTACGTCCGCGTAAAATGTTGGTGAACGTTTTAATTGTACCAATAACTATTTTTTAATGCGAGATCTGACCAATAGTTTTTGAGTTATCCTAAATAATGCGTGTTTAATTGACTTCAACTATATTGATGTTCTCATTTTATTTATATTGAAGTCGGTTATACAAAATTTTTAGTGTGTTGATACTTGATATAAATTTACAGTTTACACCCAGAGGACGGTTCATTTTTAATGATTACAAATATTTTGCTATTGTGGTAAAACAATATTTAGGTTGATTATTTTTATTTTTCACCTCATCGTAATAAAATGATGATGATGATGAAAGAAAGAATTCAAACAAGAACAGTGAAGAAGCCGCTCTTTATGCACTTCTATTACTAGTGACCAAATTTTACGCTCTTTATTGGTTTATATCCGTCATCACTTGTACTATATTTTGTATATATACAAAAGTCACAAAATACTTTGGGTGGATTGCACAATGGCCTTGTTGCACAATGTACACTAACGAATTCAATGCACTATAACATTCATTATACTTTTGCATAATACCCGAATACACGGAATACGTCTATAAAGCAAGCAAGACAATTTTCTTTAGTCAATTCAAAACCTTTGAATTGAAATTTATAAAGATAACATTTTACATAAGACTCAACGCTTGTTTTTGTGATCAAAATATATTTAGAGTATTGTAATTTACGTGTACTAAACAAAAGAACGAGTTCATAGCATTTAAAATTAGAGAAGCAATATCTATTAATAATTGCAGTTATGAATAGAAATTAAAAAGTTAACGGTGGGTAAATGCAGTAAATTTAAGGAAACCAGATATACGAATGACTTTCATATTCCTCTAACTATAATCTCCCGAGCTCATGATCGAGATTAATAATCCTCAAAATAAATATCATATTTAAGACTACCATTGCTTTTTTCCTTCTTTTTTCATCGTTTTACGTAGTTAATACTATCACCTAAA